GCGCCTCTGCACCCCTGGCAAAAAAAAGTGTTCTGCGACCGCTTACTTCACGTAATGGATGAGCCGCCCCTGGCTCAATGCTATAGGCCTGCAACCCCTGGAAGGTCGATCCCAGATGGTGAAGCTGGGAGACACCTGATTGGACCCCTGGCCTTTGACCTGTGGGGTCCCACAAGGTTCCCTTCTGTCTCCCATGCTTTTTAACATCTACATGAAACCGCTGGGAGAGGTCATCTGGAGTTTTGGAGTTGGGTGCGATCTCTACGCAGATGACACACAACTCTACTACTCTTTTCCACCTAACTCCAAGGAAGCCCCTCAAGTGCTAGACGAATACCTGACCGCTGTGGCTGTCTGGATGAGGACAAACAAGCTGAAGATTAATCCCAACAAGACAGAGGTCCTCCTGGTCGATCGCAAACCAGACCAGGGTATAGGGTGGCAACCTGTGCTGGACGGGGTTGCACTCCCCCTGAAGTCATAGGTCCACAGTCTGGGTGTCCTCCTGGATTCTTCACTTACGTTTAAGGCTCAGGCATCAGTGGTGGCCAGGAGGGCCTTTGCACAATTAAGACTCGTGCGCCAACTGCGGCCATACCTCGGGAAGGTGGATCTGGCCAAAGTGGTCCACGCCTTAGTCACCTCTATACTAGATTACTGCAATGCACTCTACGTGGGGCTGCCCTTGAAAATGGCCCAGAAATTCCAGATGATCCAACGGGCGGCAGCCAGGTTGTTAACTGGAGCTCCTTACAGGGAGTGGTCAACCCTCCTGTTCAAGGAGCTCCACTGGCTGCCATTCATCTACTGGACCCAATTATACTTTTGAATTATGTACTGCAGGACAAAGTAATTATCTATGGTTGAACGTCCCTGTCGGAAGCCTGATTGTTCTTCACAGAGAATATTGTTTTCATTGGACCATTGCTCAATTTTGATCAAAAGCTATTTTGCGTAGATTTTTGCTGTCATATCAATCAGGCTTATAGGCCGATAGTTCTTTGGATTGGTTTTTTCTCCATTCTTATGAATAGGGACAATAATACTCATCTGCCGGCCTCTAGGTATGCTGCATGAATTGTTAATGTGAGAGAAGAGCCTTGCTAAAAGTTGGGCCCACCAATCACTGTTGTTCTTCAAAAGTATAATTCAAGGGGGATGTGTCTGTATTCAGCATTTATAGACTTGTCTTCAGCATTCGACACAATTTGTCGTAAGATACTATGCAAAAAGCTGGCTGCCACAAACATCGACAGAAGATTACTTACTTTAATCATTATGCTGTACTCTGACACCGTATTGAAAGTTAGACTTGGACCCAGTGGAGCCCTGAGCAATGAAATCAAGACATCAACTGGGGTGAGACAAGGGTGCATTTTAGCCCCTTTTCTCTTTAACTTCTATGTAAATGACATCGTAAATACATTATCCTCTGAAAGTCTACATGGTCCTAAAGTTTTGTCCAGAACTATTAACATCCTGCTTTACGCTGATGACATGGTGATTATGGCAACATCTCCAGTGGGACTAAGAAGATCCCTGGCAAAATTCAATTTGTACTGTGAGCTAGGATAGGTGCTGGTGCTATCCTACAAAGCCCTAAACGGTTCCGGCCCAAAATACCTTTCGGACCGCATCTTGGCCTATGAGCCCACGAGGACCTTGAGATCGTCTGGGGAGGCCCTTCTCTCGATCCCGCCTGCTTCACAGGCACGTCTGGCGGGGACGAGAGAAAGGGCCTTCTCGGTGGTGGCCCCCCGGCTGTGGAACGACCTCCCTGCTGACATCAGACAGGCGCCTTCCCTTCTGTCCTTCCGAAAGAGCCTGAAGACCTGGCTATTTGAGAAGGCATTCAACTGAGCGCTACGGCAACTGGTAATTGACAACTGGAACGGAATACGGATTACGATATTGGTTATGATTCTATGATGTGACGGAGCGGATTATTTAGTGTAACTAGATTATAGTGTATTATTGTTGTATTGATTCCCTGTTTTGCCTTTTTTGTAAACTGTTTTTATATGTTGTGCACCGCCGCGAGTCGCCCTAGGGCTGAGAGCAGCGGTTCTATAAATGCAGTAAATAAATAAAT